TGATGAGATCATTCCTTTCTAGATGTTCCACCACTCTTCTCCTGACAATCTTCTCCATGACTTTGCATGCTATACATGTCAGTGACACTGGTCTGTAGTTTAGTGCTTCGTGTCTGTCTCCTTTTTTAAAGATTGGGACTACATTTGCTGTCTTCCATGCCTCAGGCAATCTCCCTGTTTCGATAGATGTATTGAATATTGTTGTTAGTGGTACACATAGCGTCTCTGCTCCCTCTCTCAGGACCCATGGAGAGATGTTATCTGGCCCCATTGCCTTTGAGGTATCTAGCTCACTCAGAAGCCTCTTCACTTCTTCCTCGGCTGTGTGTACTGTGTCCAGCACATGGTGGTGTACCCCACCTCTCCGTCTTTCTGGAGCCCCTTCTGTCTCCTCTGTGAACACTTCTTTGAATCTCTTATTGAGTTCCTCACATGCTTCACTGTCATTTCTTGTTGTATCTCCTCCTTCCTTCCTTAGCCTCATTACCTGGTCCTTGACTGTTTTCTTCCTGATGTGGCTGTATAACAGCTTCGGGTCAGATTTGGCTTTTGCTGCTATGTCGTTTTCATTTTGACGTTGGGCCTCCCTTCTTATCTGTGCATATTCGTTTCTGGCTCTACGACTGCTCTCCTTATTCTCCTGGGTCCTTTGCTTTCTATATTTCTTCCATTCCCTAGCACACTTGGTTTTTGCCTCCTTGCATCTTTGGGTGAACCATGGGCTCATCCTGGCTTTTTCATTATTCCTGTTTCCCTTGGGTACAAACCTCTCCTCAGCCTCCTTGCACATTGTTGATACATATTCCATCATCTCATTAACTGGCTTCCCTGCCAGTTCTCTGTCCCACTGAACGTCATTCAGGAAGTTCCTCATTCCTGTGTAGTCCCCTTTCCTGTAGTTTGGTTTCATTTGTCCTGGCCTTCCTGCTTCCCCCTCCACTTGTAGCTCTACTGTGTATTCGAATCTCAAAACCACATGATCGCTGGCCCCAAGGGGTCTTTCATATGTGATGTCCTCAATATCTGCACTACTCAAGGTGAATACTAAGTCCAGTCTTGCTGGTTCATCCTCTCCTCAATCTCTTGTAGTGTCCCTTACGTGTTGGTACATGAAGTTTTCCAGTACCACCTCCATCATCTTAGCCCTCCATGTATATTGGCCCCCATGTGGCTCCAAGTTCTCCCATTCGATCTCCTTGTGGTTAAAGTCGCCCATGATCAGGAGCTTTGTCCTGCATGCATGAGCTCTTCTGGCCACTGCAGCCAGTGTGCCAACCATCGCTCTATTGCTCTCGTCATACTCTTGCCTTGGCCTCCTGCTGTTCTGTGGTGGGTTATACATCACTGCAATTATCACCTTGGGACCTCCAGAGTGAAGCGTTCCCGCTATGCAATCACTTTCTTCTCCGCTGTCTCCTCTCTCCAGCTCATCAAAATTCCATCGGTGTTTGATCAGCAATGCCACTCCTCCACCCCCCCTGTTCCTTCTGTCTTTCCTCAGGATCTGGTATCCTGTTGGAAAGATGGCATCTGTTATCATACCTTTAAGCTTGGTTTCTGTGATCGCTATGATGTCTGGTGATGCCTCTTTGACTCTTTCGTGCCACTCATCCCACTTGTTTGTTATTCCATCAGCGTTTATGTACCATACCTTCAGTTTCCTTTCCAACACTGTGGTTGGGGGGCCTGTGGGGGTGGGAGACCTGGTAGCATACTGTGGGATTCTATGGTTGGGGGTTGGGTGGAAGTTGTGGGTATGGATTGTATTGTGTGTTGGGATGGTGTGATAGGTTGTGGGGTTCTGAGGATAGTTGTGTGTGTGCTTGCCCTTGCTGCTCTGTCCTGCTCTGACTGACCTCTGCTGGTTCCATCCTTGTCTCCTTTCCTAGCTCCTTTCGCTTTTTTGTCCTCTCCCTCAGCTGCTGTCTCTCTGTGTTCTGTCTCTGTCTAGGAACACCTTCTTGTAGTCTTCCGAGCTTTTCAACCGTGGTTTCTCTTGGAGGATCCTGTTCTGTACTGTTTCTGTCCTGAGAATCAGCTTGATCGGTCGGTTTCTCCCCTTCAAGTACCCCCCTATTCTCTGAAAATTTACAATCTCGTCCATGTCTTCTCCCCCTATTTCCGTGATGATTTTCTCAATCTCCTTTCTTTCTTCCTGCCGTCTTTCAGTGTGTGCCCTTTCCTCTCTCTCCCGAAGCCCATGGATAAACACTGATTTTGCCCTTTCCTCCTCCCATTGCCTCTCCCTCTGTGACTCTGGTTCCTGTCTGTATGTGGTCATTTTCTCCCTTGATTTTTCCAGTGGCTCTTGGTAGCATGGTTGTGCCTCAGCATTCGACCTATCTCCCTCTTCATCTGCACCCATCTGCTCTTCCCTTCCACTCCCTGGCCCTTCTTTGTAGGCTGATATGACCTTAGCATAATTCATATCTCCTTCCTTCCTGTTCAGCCTCTCAGCTTCGTATGGTGTGTCTTCTCTGGTCACTGCCCCTGAGACTTGCTTCAGCCTGTTTACCTCAAATTCTAGGACCTTTACTCTGGCTACTGCAGTTTCGACTTGTGCCTCCCAATTCTTCGTCTCCTTCTCCAACCTCTTTTCCCATTTCACAGAGAGCTCTTTCTCCATTTTTTTCAGAAAGCTCTCCTAATTTTCTCTCCCATTCTTGCTCTATCCTTATCCACTGCTCCTCCATCCATTCCTCCCTACCAGTACCATTGTCATCTGATCCCTGATTCCTGCGAGTCCCAACCATTTTTTTTTTTTAGTGAAAGAAAGAGAGAAAGAGAAAAAGAAAAAGGGGGGAGTGAGAGAGAGGGAGAAAGAGAGAGAAGGGGAGGGTAGAAGAAGAGAGGGGGAAAGAAGGGAAAAGGGGGGAGAGAGAAAGTGAGAGAGAAGGGGGAGTGACAAGGGAAGAGAGAGAGAGAAAAAAAAAAGAAGAGAGGAAGAGAGAGAGAGAGAGGAAGAGAGAGAAGGGAAGAGAGAGAGTAAGAGAAGAAGAGAGAGAGGAAGAGAGAGAGGAAGAGAGAGGAAGAGAGAGAGAAAGAGCAAGAGAGAGGAAGAGAGGAAGAGAGAGATAGAGAGAGAAGAGAGAGAGGATGAGAGAAAGGGAGGGAGAGAGAGAGAGAGAGAGAGAGAGAGAGAGAGAGAGAGAGAGAGAGAGAGAGAGAGAGAGAGAGAGAGAGAGAGAGGAGAGAGAGAGAGAGAGGAAGAGAGAGAGAGAGAGAGAGAGAGGAAGAGAGAGGAGGAGAGGGAGAGAGAGAGGAAGAGAGAGGAGGAGAGGGAGAGAGATGGGCGGGAAAAAAGGAAGGGTTAGAGGGTCACTTCACAGGAAGGTGTGAAATCCTGCATATATGTGTGTGTGTGTGTATGTGTGTGTGTGTGCGTGCATGTGTGTGCATGTGTGTGTGTGTGTGTGTATGTGTGTGTGTGTGTGTGTGTGTGTGTGTGTGTGTGCGTGCTACAGCTATTCAAGTGCCTAACAGCAGAGCCTGTTCTCACCTAGTGTGTGTGTGTGTGTGTGTGTGTGTGTGCATATGTTTATGTAAGCAGTCCTTATTTCCCACGTATGTACTACATTTGTATTGCATATGTACCCGATCTCTTGGTTCCCACTGTACTGTCTTGTGTTTAAAATTACGTTCAAAAATAAATACACTAGGCGTCGCCTGTATGCCGCTACCTCTAAATTCTATTAAATGCCATTAAATGATGCTTATTCTAATTCTGATAGCTCGAGGAGAGTGACCCCCAATTCCAGCTAGAGACAGGTACTACTGACCCCATGCAACTCAAACTAGGTGAATATTACTTGCGGCTGGCAGTGGAGTAACGTTGCGGGTCTGTCCTGTGTCTCAGTAGTTGAAGATGCTTGATGCTTCTCGGTAATTTTTCCACTAACTTCCTGTATGCACTATAGTCTCTAGCTCACCTAATTTTTTCACTCACTCACTGTATTTACTGACACATCTATACATATCTCTTATCTCCCTGGTCTTGAGTCGCACTTATTCTTCAAAATACCCCACTGCATTATTATAGCAACACTATTTAGGCCTGACACAACCGTTCACCTTCCTTCCCCCGGCCCCCACTAGACACTTAATCACTATTTCCTTTGTTTTCTTTTCTGTGATCACTTATATTTCCTTTTTTCGGGGCTTAAGTGATTATATGCACTCTTATGCGTGCACACGCCTATATCCCACACTCTATTCCTTATGGCACAGTCAGAAATTACCACCAAAACACGAGCTCAAACCGCGTGACTCCTCCACGAGTGTGTGTGTGTGTGTGTGTGTGTGTGTGTGTGTGTGTGTGTGTGTGTGTGTGTGTGTGTGTGTGTGTGTATGTGTGTGTGTGTGACAATTGACGCCTCTCAACTCAACCATCACCTGCGTGTTAACCAAATTGGATTTCAAGAAGGTCACCTGGTTGTCGGCGTCAGGACCTCCAGTGCATGATATAACCTGACATCTTCATGTACCGGGGGACGCTATCCACTGCTTCCCAAGAATTCCCTATTATCGTGCAGTGAGTGTTGAGATTCCTATAAGTTCGATCTCCGGTATGAGTATTAAAGCTGGACATGTTTCCTTATACCTGCTGCCCCTGTACACCTAGCAGGAAGTAGGTACCTATGTGCCAGTAGGCTGTGGTGGTTGGCATTCCAGGGAAGGGGAGTGACTTGTTAATACTGATGTTTTTAGTAATACTGACTTAGCAAATTTTAACGTTGTTAGTAATATTGATGAATTAACAACTAACCCACAAATTGGAAATTGAAATAAATATATTTCACCACTCTCTCTCTCTCTCTCTCTCTCTCTCTCTCTCTCTCTCTCTCCCTGTGCTTACCAATATCAACTTACCTATATTTGGATGCAGGGGCCGAGTTTCAGCTCCTGGCCCTGGTCCTCTACCTGTGGGGATATCTACCTATTGGATATTTTATGTGCTAACCCTCTTTTAACCGCTATTATTTATTGCAGATAATTAATATGATTAACATTTCGAGAAAAACTCACGTGTTACTCTGTACGACGCTAAATTATCTTGACTTGAACCTCCTTCGTTATGAGGGTAAATAAAATTAAAAACTCTCGAAAAAAAATTTAGGTTTAAATCATACTAGAAAAAAATTAAAATTTGTATTAAAAAATCTATGAAAATTAGTGTGTATAACAGACAGTGGTGAAAATAATATACATAGAGAGCAACATTGATAAGCAGTTGATCTGACTCAGTGATTTCATTTGTGTATATAAACTCTCCACGTTTAAACCTGCTGACGTTTTACTGAAGATAAGAATTACAGTTTAACGTGTGATCGGCCAATATTGTGTGAGGTTCGTGCCCCGGTGTTAATTTTAACCAGTTGCTTACACACACCTTGTGTCTACATGGTGAGAGCACACACCACATAAACTTCCTTCTGGGTGAGAGAGAACACTCAGGTGTGACGGAACACCGAGGTGATCACCATGAATGGTGTTCCAAGCGCTGGCCAGAACGGCGCTGGCAGCCAACTCCAGCAGCTCTTCAGGACATGCGACAAGGAAGGTGAGTCAGCCAGGCTTGTGGCTTTGGTATGTATGATCAGCTGAGATAGTGGACTTTGCCAGTAGGACCAGCTGATGTAGTGGACTCAGACGGTAGGACCAGCTGAGGTAGTGGACTCAGTCGGTAGGACCAGCTGAGGTAGTGGACTCAGACGTTAGGACCAGCTGAGGTAGTGGATTCAGACGGTCAAACCAGCGGGTCTACTGGAATCAGATATTCGTGCCAGTTTCATGCAGACAGAACACATTTTAAAGCTACATTTTTCCTCCTTCACTTGTCCCAGTCCCTTGTATTCAGATTTCCCAATGTCTCCTTTATCCGCGAAGTAAAAACATATTTTACACTGTACAGTTTAACCTTTGTTGATGATCTGGTGTGCCTGTTTCACCTCCATTAATGATCCGTTGGGCCTTTTACCCCTCTCTTAATTTCATAAAAGTAACGACAGATCCCATCACGCCTTAAAACAAATTTCTCAGTTTTCGAAAACAAACTAATGAATGAATAAAAGAGGCGTAAACATAACCATTTCTTTAAAAAAATGTATTCTCTACATTCTTTTTCTTTTTTTTTTAACTTTTCTGCCATTTTCCATTTTTCATATTCGTTTATTTCTTCCACAAGTTACGGATTTTCTCATATGAACTATGGCCACTAAGTCCACTCGTTCCTGCCAAGGTCAGCATAAGGTTAATCCTGAGGGGTTTTAGTCTTCTTTAAAATTTCGACAATGATATCTTGTAACAGTTTTGTAAGGTTCAAGGTTGAATCATATGAGCATCATGTTCCCATGCTTACACTGATCCTCCCTTAGTGGCGCAGTACTTCCTCATACATGAAGTCTTTGGTAGTCGGTCAGAGTTCATTTTTAAGACCCTACTTAAAACCCATCACACATCTCGGAGACGAACCTCCATCCCGTCTACATCAACACCCACCTCCCTCCCATCCACACCTCTATCAATAATTTCACAATAATTAACAAGACTCCTTTGCCTTCCAAGATTCTTCCCCTTCTACTTTAATCAAAGATCAAAAATATAAGAGAAGTAACTATGCGATTCCTTGCATGGAGCACAGGCAAGGGCTACATCGTGGAGCAGGAGCTGAGGGAGCTGTGTCTGGGGCTAGGCATCACAGCTGAGGATTCGGACGTGATCTTCAGTGACCTGGACGAGGACCAGGACGGGAAGATCAGTTACTGGGAGTTCTCCAAGGGCTTCAGCGAGTTCCTCAACCCCGACACAGAGGCCAGAGCCAACAGGCGGTTCTCCATAGGGTGAGTTAACCTCCCCCCCCCCATCAACCACAACCCCCATCATTAATTTCAGAAAAAAGTTCTGCTACACACACACACACACACTATTGTCACGGGGTAGGATCAGGAGCGGAGATTCGACCCCCTGCAACTACAAATAAGTGACTTCACAAACACACGCTTCTATATACTTAAATTTACACAAATTTCCTTTTGTCATAACAGCACAGGATCGGCGGCGGAGGAGGAAGATGAGGAGGAAGTGGAGAGAAGAGTAGATGAGGAGGAACTGAGGAGGAGAGAGAGTGTGTATCAAGCATGGAGCTGTCTCACCTCCAGTCTTGCTCAGCTCACAAACACCTCAGTAGCTGCTGAGAGGTGAGAGAGGAGTAATATAGATAGATAGATAGAGAAAGAGAGATAGAGAGATAGATAGGGAGAGAGAGAGAGAGAGAGAGAGAGAGAGAGAGAGAGAGAGAGAGACAGAGAACATCACTCCATCTGAGATCATACATACCCAGGATGACTCGAGTATGGAACACATTCGTACAGCATAATGATGTCAACGAGATAAAGTCAGTTGATCAAATGAAAATGCTGGCCCACAGATGGCTCCAACTTCATCCTGTTCCCTACTTGTATGTTTCATAACAATAAAAATGCTTTCAAATGAGCTGATGTAGGTAACAGCTCTTAGCTTGTCAATAAAGTTAGGGATCCTTAACCTGTAAATAGCTTGTCAATAAAGCTAGGGATCCTTAACCTTGTCAAACCCTGTGAAAAAAAAGAGACAGAGAAAGACAGAGAAAATACTAGAAAACGGAAGAACTCAAGAACACTGAAAACACACGAACACGATAACACAGAAGAACACGAATGAACACAATAACAGAACCCAAGAATAAGAAAACACACAAGACAAATAGAAACACAAACATACATAACACTAAACATCAAGGAAACACAGGAAGAGATAATTGTTTTGCGGAGGGAAAGACACAACAACACAAACATGGTGGTGATAAGAGAGTAGGTATGTAGGTTAAGCCAAACATGATGTAACATCTGTGTACACACCTGTACACACCTGTACATGCCTGCATACATCTATACTCCCCGACCACTCCCCCCCACACACAGGGATCGTCAGAGAAGTCCAAGAAACACAGGAACCACCGAGTTGAAACAAGGAGACAGAGAGAATGGTGAACTGAAGTGCAGAGGGAAATATAAGAAGAGGATAGGATGTGTGTGTGTGTGTGTGTGTGTGTGTGTGTGTGTGTGTGTGTGTGTGTGTGTGTGTGTGTGTGTGTGTGTGTGTGTGTGTGTGTGTGCGTGTGTTTTAAATAATTTCAATGCTTTTATGATTAAATATTTATTCCAACGCCATCTACCGTAACAGAGAAAAATCATTGTTTGTATATTGTTGTAAGAGTTTGTCATTCTCACCTGTGTAGCTTCGACCTCCAGGTATGTTAATTAATGCTCTACATGGGGGCTCAGGTTATGATGGCGAGGAGGGAGGGAGGGAGGGAGGGAGGGAGGGAGGGAAGTAAGTGTGGATAGAAGAAATAAAGATTGTAAGGAAACAGAAGATAATGAGCGAGTGGATACTGGTTGAGTGAGAGATGAAAGAAGAAGGAAGACAAGAAAGATTAATTTATAGGCACAAAGATAGAACAAACTTTCAATAATGTTACTGTCGTGCCGAATAGGTAAAATTGGTCAATTAGAAAGAACTCGTTCAAAATTAAGTCCTTTCTAAATTTTTCTCTTGTACGTTTAAAAATACTTTTTTTTCAATTATGTTAATGTAAAAATTAATAATTTTGTACCAAAAGAACCTTAGAAAACTTCCCTAACTTTATTATAACAAGCGCAATTTAATTTACCCTTATCTAACTAAATATATTTTATATTAGTCTACAAAAAGAATGAATTTTGCGAAATCATTGCATACACAAATTTTCACTTGCCTTATTCGACAAGAAGAACGTTGCTACTTAAGCGAAAATCGCAGTTTTACCTATTCAGCATGACATTTACATACATACTACATACATACATGTTCTTCAGTAAATTTATCAATTATGTCCACATAAGAGGTTACGCCACATTGTACACAGGTGTTCCACAGGGAGAGGAGCTTGTAACTGGTCTTACATCCTTGTAAGAATTTCATTATGCGGAGGTCGTGAATCTGCATGACATGACGTTTGTCGAAAATACTCTGAATAATTATTTTGGTTCTGAAAGGTAAAAAAAAATTCCCATTGTTATGTACATTTTGGAAATTATAATAATAATTATTATTATTATTATTATGATTATTATTATTATTATTATTATTATTATCGAGAAGTGGAACTTTCTAATGCCAAATCTAAATTTTTTAATCAATAATTAACTCATTTCTCTCTCTCTTTCTTTCTCTCTCTCTCTCTCTCTCTCTCTCTCTCTCTCTCTCTCTCTCTCTCTCTCTCTCTCTCTCTCTCTCTCTCTCTATCTATTGATCATGGTTTCAGGCAGGTAACCCCGATTAACTCTGAGACTGAAGCATTAAATGAAAGTTAACACTGTAACCAGAGCAGCAGTGTGTGTGTGGTTAGGACACCCTGAACACAGGTATAAGGAAGGTTGGAGGAGTGAGGTTGGTATTCGGGGAATGGTAGTACAAGACAGGTTGGAGGAGTGAGGTTGGTACTCGGGGAATGGTAGTACAAGACAGGTTGGGGGAGTGAGGTTGGTACTCGGGGAATGGTAGTACAAGACAGGTTGGAGGAGTGAGGTTGGTACTCGGGGAATGGTAGTACAAGACAGGTTGGAGGAGTGAGGTTGGTACTCGGTACTCGGGGAATGGTAGTACAAGACAGGTTGGAGGAGTGAGGTTGGTACACGGTACTCGGGGAATGGTAGTACAAGACAGGTTGGGGGAGTGAGGTTGGTACTCGGGGAATGATAGTACAAGACAGGTTGAGGGAGTGAGGTTGGTACTCAGGGAATGGTAGTACAAGACAGGTTGAGGGAGTAAGGTTGGTATTCAGGGAATGGTAGTACAAAACAGGTTGGGGGCTGGTATTCAAGGAAGAGTGAACAAGGTGGTAGTATAAGGCAGATTGAATGAGTGAACCTGGTACCTGAGTAACAGTGGGGAAGCGGACGGGGAGTAATCTGAATAATAAAAACGCAAATTGCAGGGTAGCAGTTATACAATGGATTACGTAGGAGGGTGTGAAGCTCTGTGTGTGTGTGTGTGTGTGTGTGTGTGTGTGTGTGTGTGTGTGTGTGTGTGTGTGTGCGTGCGTGTGTGCGTGTATGTGTGTGTGTGTGTATCAGTGTGTATGTGTCCGTGTGTATGTGTCAGTGTGTATGTGTCAGTGAGCTCATTTATGTTTTTGTACATGAGTGTACATTAATGTCATGTACATGTGTGTATTTTTGTGATTATTCAACTTTTAACACACCGGCCATATCCCACCAAGGCAGGGTGGCCCAAAAAGAAAAACGAAAGTTTCTCTTTTAAATTTAGTAATTTATACGGGAGAAGGGGTTACTAGCCCCTTGCTCCCGGCATTTTAGTCGCCTCTTACAACACTCATGGCTTACGGAGGAAGAATTCTGTTCCACTTCCTCATGGAGATAAGAGGAAATAAACAAGAACAAGAACTAGAAAGAAAATAGAAGAATACCCAGAGGGGTGTGTATATATATGTTTGTACATGTATGTGTAGTGCGACCTAAGTGTAAGTAGAAGTAGCATAACATACCTGAAATCTTGCATGTTTATGAGACAGACAAAAGACACCAGCAATCCTACCATCATGTAAAACAATTACAGGTTTTCGTTGTACACTCACTTGGCAGGACGGTAGTACCTCCCTGGGTGGTTGCTGTTTACCAACCTACTACCTAGGATTATATATATATATATATATATATATATATATATATATATAATATATATATATATATATATATATATATATATATATATATATTCATTCTTGCCCAATAGGTCAAACGTGGGATTTTGGCTTAAACAGCAGATATAGCCCCACTCCATAAGGGTGGCAGCAAAGCATTAGCTAAGAACTATAGACCAATAGCTCTAACGTCCCACATCATAAAAATCATTGAAAGAGTGCTAAGAAGCAGGATTGCAAACCACCTTGATTCCTCAAAACTGCACAATCCAGGGCAACATGCGATCATGGCGTAATAACACACAAAATACGTGCTAAAGGAATAACTGGCAAAGTGGGGAGATGGATCTTCAACTTCCTAACCAATCGAACACAAAGAGTAGTGGTCAACAGAGTTAAATCGGAGGCTGCCATAGTGAAGAGCTCTGTTCCACAAGGCAGAGTACTCGCCCCCATCCTGTTCTTCATCCTCATATCAGACATAGACAGAGATGTAACCCACAGCACCGTATCATCCTTCGCAGACGATACTAGGATCTGCACGAGACTGTCATCTATTGAGGACCCGGTTAACCTCCAAGAAGATATTAACAAAGTTTTCCAGTGAGCAACGGATAAAAACATCATGTTCAATGAGGACAAATTCCAACTACTCCGTTATGGAAAACTGGAGGGGATAATAACTAGAACAGAGTGTACTACAAACACTGGCCATACAATAAAGCGGAAAAATAATGTAAGGGACCTGGGAGTGGTAATGTCTGAGGATCTCACTTTCAAGGATCACAACAGTGCCACGATCACAAGTGCAAAGAAAATTATAGGATGGATAATGAGAACGTTCAAAGTGAGAGATGCCAAGCCAATGATGATCCTTTTCAAATCACTTGTTCTCTCTAGGCTGGAATACTGCTCTACATTAACATCTCCATTCAAAGCAGGTGAAATTGCAGATCTAGAGAGTATACAGAGAACTTTTACTGACGTATAAGTTCTGTCAAGCACCTTAACTACTGGGAACACTTGGAAGCACTTGACTTGTACTCGTTGGAACGCAGGACAGAGAGATAAATCATAATCTACACTTGGAAAATCCTGGAAGAAATGGTCCCGAATCTGCACACAGAAATCACTCCCCACGAAAGTAAAAGACTGGGCAGGCGATGTAAAATACCCCCAATTAAAAGTAGGGGCGCCATTGGTACACTAAGAGAAAACACCATGAGTGTCCGGGGCCCAAGACTGTTCAACAGCCTCCCACCAAGCATAAGAGGAATTACCAATAAACCCCTGGCTGCCTTCAAGAGAGCTGGACAGATACCTAAAGTCAGTGCCGGATCAGCCGGGCTGTGGTTCGTACGTTGGACTGCGTGCGGCCAGCAGTAACAGCCTAGTTGATCAGGCCCTGATCCACCGGGAGGCCTGGTCGTGGACCGGGCCGCGGGGCGTTGATCC